AAACTTGACACTAAATCTGATTAAAGGGTAGATAGACAAAAACGAATATTTGGTATAATTGTTCTTCCTTTTATACCCATCTGTTTGCAAAACTACTAATTTGATATTTGGGATTTATCATCTACGCCATTTTTAAAAAAAAGAGACAAGAATAGCCAATGCTAGGATTGTGATCAATCAAGGTCCAACCACTCGACAGTCGTATCACTTATCGAGGACTTTTCCACTCCCAGGCCGGGATACAGACCATATGTAATCTTTCGCTGACCCACACATTTCGCCAGATCCCAGGACCTTAGCTCGAGGTGGGTGTCTACTCCAGGATCTTCTTATAGTTTTTTCCACTTTTTCCGTGATCATTACTATTTGCATTAGCACTGCATCTTCAAATAATTAACAGATACCAAGGTTTGGTGTGTTGGAATTTATTCAGCACTCTTACGAATACTAAGCCCCGCTTACCTGGAAATGTTTAAATGTGACTGCATTTTGAACTGACCATGGTTGTATTTGTAATCTTGTTGAACCGGTTTTCTTGTTTATAATATGACATGTGTTGTTTTTTTCTTGTGCGTGTCAACTTTTACTCCCAGTACTCATGTCATCGTTGTGAAGCGCCCAAGCGTTTACCTGTGTTTGTTAGAGTGCTACATAAATGCAGTCCATGATGATGATGATGATGACGGTGGTGCTGTTTCTGCTGCTGCTGCTGCTGCTGCTGATTGTTATTATTATTATTTTTATTATTATTATTATTATTATTATTATTATTATTATGATGATGATGATGATGATGATGATGATGATGATGATGATGATGATGATGATGATGATGATGATGATGATGATGAAGATGATTCTAAATCTCTCAAGATTTGTTTGTTATTAACGCTGTAATTTACTGTGTTTTTGGTAGGTAGGCTCCCCCTGAGGCGAGGGGATACAATATTGTGTGTAAATTGTTCCCTCTCGACTCGAGTTTGAGGAAACTGTGTCGGAATCTCCGCAACTTCATATTTAAATAAGTATTAAGTCTTTAACCCAATTGTGAACTTGCTACCTGCAAACCCCTTACGAAACCCCAAAATAATATCTGCCACTGTACTAGCTACCTACTAAGGTCCTCTCTTCACTTGTCTTGGCCCGCTAGAATAGGCTAATACTAACAAGGTCACCATAGCAGAGACTGTGCCCACCATTTCGTAACTTCACGGTGACATTAAAGATGGTTCCAGTAGGGAACGTGATAGCGGGTGCCCACATCCCTCGTGACTCATCAGAGCAGAGGAAGATAGGACTAACGCTAACATTATTTTTTTTTTAAACCCCAAAACCCCCCAAAAAACAATCAAATAACAGAAGCATGTTTTCTTATAATTATAAACGTAAGCACCATCCCACATCATCACTTATCACCACCATCACCGTCATTTCTAAGGTCATCATTGCTCTCAGATCCTTCACAAACATCTATAATTATCCTAAACATCTATATGTAACAGTTATATGTCATAACAATGTTGTACGTTATACATTATTGGGCACTCTCATACGCACATTTTTCTACTAATGAGATGGCGTCAATATCATAGAAATGGGCAAGGGACAAAAAAAAAAAGAAAAAAAAAGGTAGGTAGGCATTTCTTGCAATCAAAAAAAAAAAAAAATATCGGAAAGAGACATATATGAGGCATCGTGGTGAAATCAGGCGCTTGTCGAAATAACAAAATTGAAGAAACAGGCATTTTCCCACCAGTTTTGCGATTTTAATCAAATTTTTGTTCTTTTGTTCAACCCTTTTATATCCAAATAAAAATACATTTCCATGTGAATTATATTGAAAAACGATTAAAAGCTCAAAATATGTAATTTTTCAGTTTTCAAGTAATTTTTCAGTTTTCAAGGAATCTTTAGCTATTGAAGTTTCCAAACTTTGGCGGACATTTTCTAGCTATTTTTACCACTGAAACCAAGCAAACCTATCTCTTTTAATCACACAAATCTTCACTTCTGCTCAGTATAGACGGATATTTAAAAAAGAATTGAAAAGCAAGGTAACTGAACACGCTTTAAGATGATACCAATAGCTCCACATGCATAAAATTTGAAGAACGTCTGATACTACCGCGTCGTGTGACACAGCTGTTCGTTCTATCCAGGGGCGGCTCTTGGGGCTAAAAAGTGGGCGTGCACAATAATATTTAAGCTATGGAATACTGAAGATAGTCAAGGGCAAAATAAATGAGACGGTGTATAATTTTAGAATCTTTGGGTTGGTGAGGGAGGGCCTCGTGGTTTTATTTTTATTCTTTTTACTGGTCTCTTTGATATCTAGTACTAAATTTGTTTGTTAGCTAAACATCAATTTTTTCTTCCTGTATTGGAACTGAACACCTAAGTACATGTAATAACTTTCACTACTCCACTACAAAACCATTCAAAGGCACAACTCATAGGACGGTCACGTTCACCTCACCCAGGTTCACGGCTACAGAGTCACTTAAAATAGTGGCAAGACAAACAATGAACCAATCACAATTCACTTGAGCACTCCGCAGGATTGCTCCGGGGCTCACATAATACTGGCAAAGAAGAGCGTATGGTATATCGTGTTTATTTTTAGACTGCCTACTGTGGGCTATGTTTCGGCACTATTCGACAGGAGCACATTTGAGATGTGCCGGCTTATTAATACTAATGTACCGCCAAACTCGCTACGAGTGTCGTCATCGCTTGGGTTATCCCCAAGAGCGATTTATAGGTCAGGTTACACTGTTGAATATCCTTTTCTGTTTAGCTAAAGCGCGTGGACTTTGGCATGGCATAGTAGATGTTTTACGGCGCTATAGACATAGAAATGACAGTTATGGCCCCAGTATGGACCTTTGTTTTGATATGATATTTGGCTTGTGTTTGTTTCTGGCTTCTTTTATTGTATTATAGTTGTTTTTTTACGGAATAGAACATTCACAAATTTTGGGTGCATTGCACGAGCGTGCTCTATGAACGAACCGCGCCTGGTTCTATCCCATTTGTGTCTCTTGTCGTTTAGATTAGTGTTTGGTTTTGAACACATCGCAGTTTGAATCTTGCACTTTCCCTGACTAATGATTCTTGATTCATATATTACTTCGATTGCGAATACACAAAGATGCATCTAAGTGAATACTTTGACTGAATATTGTGTGTCTCCAATCTCTTTTTTTTTTTGGGGGGGGGGGGGTATTTTTAATTCTATATAAGCGACCCCCTGCACTAAGAATTCGTTGGAAGATATTAGACTTGTTTCACTATCATTGTAAACATAGACGTTTTGCACCCAATCGACATGAATCGGCGGGCTGCTCAAACCCTGGCCTATCATTGCCAATTTAGGCTGAAGGGGGGGGGGGGGGAGCCACGATGTTTTAACAGGTTATTGTAGATACTTGAATGGACAAACACAGAAGGAAAAAAATTAACCTCCCCGAACAGTTACTGTTGTCAAACCCATGCATTCTGCGTGCGACGGTGAAGCACCTATTCGCTTTACCACAGAATATGTAGGCGTTAAGAGCCATGTTTGTATTCTGGCTCTATTCTTAGCCTCGTTTAGTTTATGAGCCTACCTATTAGTACTTTACTCACACTCACAGTTGAAAGACTTGGCTGTCGGCAAAGAAGTTTTTGGAGTTTTTTAAAAATAAGACGGTTTTCAGGATAGCACGAACATAGTGCAGTCTTATGCCAAGTCCATTTTTTTCAGGTTTTTTAAATGTTTGTCACCTTACAAGCGCTGGATTACAGTCCCGAAAACGAATAGTAGTATAAAACCTTAGTATAAAATAAAACAGAAATTATACTGACAGGGATCTTATTTAACAGATATAACTTGGGCCTCAAGAGAAATATTTGTTCAACAGCGTTGACAGCTAAGGCAAGAACCCCAAGAGTCGGAAATTGGAGTTGGCACAACAAGGCACCTCAGCTCGCTATATACCTTAACACGTTGATCTTATTAAACCTTAGCTTTATCTGAATCAATAAAGGAACGTATAGTGTAAGCCTGATCAGCCTTGACAGCTATGGATAGAACCGCCACATTCGGAAATACTGGAGTTTGTACAAGATAGCCCTCTATTTGCGACATATCTGAGTGTGTCGGTTTGATCGTAGCTTAGATCCAGCAGAACAGTAAATGGAACGACGTTTAGTATAAACTTGATTACTGGATAATGATAATAAAAATAAATAAACAAATTTTAAAAAAATATATATATAACAAGATAATAAATAAATACATAAATAAATGAATAAATAAATAACAAACAAATAAGTAAATGAATAAGTAAATAGATGAATATACAAATAGATAAATAAAAAATAGATAAGTAAAAAAATAAGTTAAATTACAAACATAAGGTCATAATATAAATATTAATAATAATAATAATAATAATAATAATAATAATAATAATAATAATAATAATAATAATAGTAATAACAATAGTAGTTGTAGTAGTAGTAGTAGTAGTAGTAGTAGTAGTAGTAGTAGTAGTAGTAGTAGTAGTAGTAGTAGTAGTAGTAATCAAATGACTATCGCTTTAATAGTGATCCTGTCGGCCTTCCCCCCTCCCCATTCTCTCTTTCTCTCTCACTCTCTCTCTCTCTCTCTCTCTCTCTCTCTCTCTCTCTCTCTCACACACTCTCTGTCTCTCTTTATTTCATTCTTTCTCTGTCCACTATCTCTTTCTACAGCTTAACTAGCAACACATTGACCTAGATGGTATGAAAAATGAAAAATATGTCTTAGCAAAAACATGCTATTGTAGCTCCTTTTAAAATATCGCTTGGGAACTGAACTCGGGCCTCTAATGTACTTGTGGACGTCATTCCACATGTCCTAAGCTAATGCAGAATCGCTATGTTGATTTACTAGCGAATGACACTGGCGTTGCTGTTGCTGTTGTTTTTTTTTAACGATTTTGAAATTGTGGAAATCAATTTTTAAACACTAACTGTAATTTCATAGCAGTAACTATTAGAAGGGTATTTTTTTTATTTGACTTAGAACCCTTCCGAAAATAAGCCAGCCCACCCTCGCAGACAATGGACGCCATTTTGGGAACATGGAAGGCTGACAAGTCCACCTTTGAGAATGCAAAAGCTTTCTTAGACGCAGCAAGTAAATGAGATGTATAATATTATGTTTCCTGTTTGTTCTTTATCATTTACTTTTGTTGTTGTCTTAGAATCTTGTAATGCCCATTTATAAGGGAGGAGAAGAGAGTTAAAACGTGGGGAATTTAAAAAGGGCGGGAGGGGGATAGTTGTCTTCGTAACTATTGTTGTTTTTGCTGTCGATACTGCTATTATTATCATTGTTGGTGTTGTTGTTGGTAGTGGTGTTATTCAGTAGTGTTGCTGTTGTTATGGTTTGGTAGTTTTTGTTTCAAGAAGAATAATATAAACTTCTGTAGCATAGCTTTTAAACACAATTTCATTGGTTGGAAATGTTGGTTTATTTATATAATTCCTTTTTTTCAAAAGAAGTAAACAAATCATTGTTTTTTTCCCTAAAGAACATTGGCATATATAATCTCAAACGGTAGTAGTTCCAGCAAAGATTACAATAATTGAAAGGGTCATCCATTGAGCTCAAGTTCAGATGAAGCCCTTAAATGTTAGACAAAATGAGTTATTTCTCGTAATCTACTCGATATTGGCCAAATATAGATACAGTGGTCAATTTTGTAGATTCTCAACTTATGACATTTTTTTTCAAGTTAAAATGTGCTGTATCATTTCAGACGTACGTATTGTACAAATTCGACTTTTAGATCTTTAGTCATCCTGTGAAATCTGAGAAGTAACTCATTTTGTCAGCGCACCTTTAAAAAATTAGGCTGCCCATATGGAGTTGTAAATGGTGGACTGGATCAGAAGTACCAAGTTTTGAATTTGTGAAAACTTGAGTAATCGTGTAACTTAATACCTGTCAACTGTGCTATATCAATACAACAGATAACGTTTGCCATTGAAAAAAAATATATACAGTCGAAATTTTCTAAGATAGCCACCTATTTTTATGGGGAAAGGTGTCCGTCTTAGACAGGTGGCTGTCCTACAAGGTGTCAGTAAAAAATGAAAGAGGAGAAAGGGGACGTAGAGCTAGAGGTCACTGGTACATGTGTTTGTCTTAAACATGTGGCAGTGAGAAAAGGATTGATTCTATTTAAAGAGGAACGCAGCATAATGCCTATGGTGGTGCGCTTCCCGCAGGTGTTCCCGAGGAACATCGCAAAGACCTGTCTGAGCGAGAGATGGAGATAACGTACAGTAAGGAAGGGGAGCAACTCAAATGTGTCGTCAAGGTCACTAACTCCCCTGTGGCCAAAGAGAAAACCTACACGATTGATATAGGGCAGGAGAAGGACATCGAGAGCGTTGAGGGCATCAAAATGAAGGTGAGCTGGGTCGTTCGTTTGTTTATCTGTTTCTATCTCTTTCTCTCTGTCTCTCTGTCTCATTTTGTCTCTCTGTCTCTCTCTCTCTCTCTCTCTCTGTCTCTCTCTCTCTCTCTGCCTTTCTGTCTCTCTCATT